ACCTCAAGGACCGGTAGTGAAGCGGCCCTTGGAGCAAGAGCCGCAGAATACGCGTACACTGAATCCGCAAACAATCATGAAATCTTATATTTGGCCAGGATAGCTTCTCACACACCCATGGTGAAGTTTTACGTCCGCCCAGCGCAGGCTGCGTCTGATCTCGAGGATGCATTCATCTCACACCGGGGGAATGCATGTCTCACCCTGGGCGCCAGGACCGCGCCTGCCATGACGACTTGTGACACTAGTGTCGTTCACTTTCCCAACAGCTATACACGCCTGTTATGTCCTTCGTTGGCCCCCAAAATTGGCAGAAGTGCGGAGAGCGTTGAACTATCCTGGGCGGCACTTGCCCGTCCACGCACCAGGGGAGTATACTAGTAGTACGTTGTCTATATATCTCCTCTAGTCGGCGCTGAATTGAACAACACTCTAGTCTCACCAGGTCTCACCCCACCCGTGGGCGCCAGTTTTCAGTCGCGTAACCCGAGGTGCGCCAAAGCAGTGGGCGGGGCTTGGGTCCGTTTGTCAGTGTCTGAGCACAGAGCCAAGGTGTTCCTGGAAACGCCCCCCGGCGTACTTGACGGCAAGAGATGCCCGTGTCCGTCCGTACACGTGCGACACATTGCGCGAAAGGATCCCCTGGCTCAGGTCGCGAAAGCAGGTCAATGAGCCCCTCGTAGCGGCGTGACTGCACCATGAGCAGATATCTGTACTACTTACGTGGAAGAGAAGGCGAATGATGCCCTCTCAAGGGCGCGCGATGTCATTTACGCGTTGTGAGATTGTACGGCCGGTTGCATTTCGAACGCGCGATTTATACCTGAGTCGGGGCCCGTCGCGATTATCGACTGCCACCCATGACCATCGGGAAATTCAGTGAGGGAGAGGGAGAGAGCAAACACGTCAGGGAATTTCCGGCGGGTTTTCCGACGCGCATGGCGTGTTGGGCGCGAATTGACGGAAAGAACGGGCATTGCGGAAGCAGATCCCAATGCCCATGACGCGTCGCCGGCATCTGCGCATGCAAACGTCTGCCAGAAATTGCAAAATCAGCGATCCCGCGTTCAAAATGCAAACAGCTGTTACGCCTTGAGTACTTATGTAACCTGTGCAGGGACGTTGAAATGAGCCCCTGTGCCTGGACCGTGAAGAGTGTCTCAACCTGCTGCGACAAGCGCGCCGAGCTCGACTCACAGCGGCAGATGAATCCCTGGATGAAGTCCCGTACCGCCTCGTGCACATGGGGCCTGGAGGGAAAGCATCATCAGACTCGTGACTAAAACGACCTGCTTTGCATACCAAACTCCACCACCAACGACGAGCTTGTCATGCGTAAAGTGCCCTCGATGTCGTCCTCTTGCGACCTTGTGCGTGATATGATTGCGGAGTTGTCGGAGGCTGCTTGGAAGCCGACGTTCGATCGTTGGTCTGAGGACCGCCTAGATTGAGCGCACCAATGGCACACGGAGTGACAGGGTGGCACTAGGACCCCCGACATCTCCCTCAGATGCCTGATCCCAATTTTCGAAAAAGCGCCAAAAATGTCCTCGGGGATCAGGCCTCCCGGCGACCCCGTTTTGGTCGGACGGCCGCAGGCCTCGGCCGTCCAGAAGCTGATTTGGTCGGATTTTCGGAACAGGCCTCCGGAGGGCCTCAAAATGTCCGGATTCCGCTCGAACAGGCCTCTGGAAGGCGATTTTTTTTGTCCAGGAGACTTCGGGGCTTCTCAGAGCACGAGGAGAGACATTTAGGAGTTGTAGCAACTTGTGAATACAGGAGATCATTGACGAGAACATAGGGGCATAGACTCGCAGTGGCTACTGTAGCCTAAGCGCCCTCGTCCTCCCCCCACGCACTTCTCCTCTCGCCTCTTTACAGGACCTCCCATGGTTCCTCTACGTTGGCCCCTCGCCCTCGCCCTCGCCCTCGCCGACGCTCGCCCTCGCCGCGCTCATGACCGCGCTGCATGCACACCTGCACACGCCGATCGCCGCGGACGACTACAACGCCTCCGCGCGGGTGTGTGTCGCGAGCGCGTGTGGCGTGCGCGGCGGCGAGTGGTGATGCAGATGGTGCGCGGGCCCAGGACCCGGAGGGCGTGCTCGACATCTGTCGGACCGACGACCTGACGGACCGCAGGATGCTGTGGGGGCTGTGGAAGGTCTCGAGCGGGGAGGGTGAGGAGGCAGGTGAGGGCGTTGGGGGGACGCGGGTTCTGGGAGGTCTTCGTTGATGGCCCTTAGGGCGCGCACGTCATCACACCGAATGCACAGGTCTTGATGGTTAGGTTACTCGATAGTCCAGCATGCGGGTGAGAGGGTTGGGAGAGCATGGCCCATGGCACCTGTACGCGTCGAGAGACCCTTGCCCGCCGACCTGCCCGGGTCACCTGCGCCCGTGGCGATCCCTAATCGTCCTCTCGATCTACCCGCGCTTTCTGGGTCCTCGGCCAACTTTCGAGCCGTCGTCCGTGCCCTCGCGTTCTCGTTCTCGCCCCGGATCTGAGCCAGGGTGGACCAAACGAAATCTGTGGCATCTGCACCTGGCGCGCGGTCAAACGGACGGCCCGTCGATTCCCGGAAGCACACTGTGGGGAGATTAAACTGTATTAGGTCTTGAAGATGTTGAGTTCAGCTCGCTTTCTGTATTTACTTGCGGGCAGTAGAATATCATTATAAACAGTTCAGTCGATGCAGCGTTCTTACGCGAGCACCGGCGACTCACATAAGGTGGCTGCCATTGGTCGCGCAGTCAGTCGCCCACTCCAACTGCCCTCCGGGGACCGCCCAAAGCCGCCCGACCGTCCGTTGAGGATCAGGCATTTGAGGAGCCCCCGCCCTAATGGTCGGATGATGGCTCAGGCATCGGCCGGTCGATACCCTGGAAAATGTCCGACAAGGCCTAAGCGCCTACAGGCATCGAGCCCGCGAAATCGCCATCAATGTCCGGATTCGGCTCAGGCATTTAGGTGAGATGTCGGGGGTCCTGTGGCACTGCGTCGATCACCAAGCAACTTGATGCAGTGCCAGTCAGAAGCATTGATGTAGAAAGTCCAACGACCGTCGACCGGTCTTGGCCCGACGGGCTTACAACAGGAAAAGTAGAGCAAAGGTTTTGAGATTTTTAGTAAAGTGTAAGGAGAGGTAGAGCATGATGGTACTGGAGAGAACGCCGTAAAATGCACGGAGGTGGGCAGCTCACCAAGGTTATGGAGACACTGGACGAGGGGACCGGCGTTGAGAGGCAACGCCTCCTCCCGGCGTCCGATGGGGATTTGGCAACGGAGACGCTGACAGGCAGGAGTTTGCGCGCAACGGCGACGACGACACCAGCTGACTTGCAGCCTCGTTTGTGTCCGCCTCTCCGCCGTTTCCGCCACTCCGTCCAACAATGAAACGGGCCAGAATACCGAGGATTGCATTGGGCGACCGGCAAGACCTCCGCTAGCTCGGCAGCCACGTCGCGGTCCCCCGATCAGCTGGCCCATTCGGCCGCTTCGATGTCGTCTGCCCTGTTCTCGAGCACATGGTGGGTCACCGCAGCATCGGCAAAGCATGTGCGCTCGCTCGCTCCGTCCGTTTCATTCACTGCTCGTGCTGAAACAGCGGGTGATTACAGAGCGTTCGAACCAACCTTTGATGGACTCAGCCCTGCTCAACTTCTTACCGCTCACGGCAATCCCCACGTCGTTGGGTACAAGCGAGCGCCCTGCCGAGTCCTGGTTTGGTCCGTGCCGCCGCGGCCGTGCAGATGGGGGACTCAGTGTGAGGTTGCAGGCGCCACGATGCAGGGGTCGCGACGCGTGCACCGCGACGAGATGTGCGGGGATGCGCGGCGCCGTGACGCGCGTTGGATCGGGGGATGGGCCGTGGGCCGTGGCTGCCGTACCGACCGAATCGAGAACGAAGTTCGCTTCCTCTCCCGACGACCGGGACCAGGTCAGGATGCTCGGAGGGCGGGGTATATATATCGTCCCTCGCGGTGGACGTGGTCCCCATCCGCGCTTTCGCCTTCTCCTTGCGCCCCTTCCCCTTCCCCCCTCGCCCTTCGTTTTCCCGCGAGGTCCTTCTCAAAATGAAAGCCACGGTCATCGCGAGTGTCGTCCTCGCGTCTCTCGCTCGCCACGCTGCCGCTGCCGCCGCGATCCCAGACCAGATCTACGGTGTCAACATCGGCTCATGGCTCGTTCTTGAGGCATGGATGCTTCCCAACGGTACGTCAGCCCGCTTGTATTCCTCATGTTTACCCTCGTTTACCTACTCGGTTTGCAGAGTGGACTGCCATGGGCGGCAACACTTCTTGCTCATGCTCTGACGCCGGGTGTATTGGCGATGAGTTGTGAGCACTCCTTTCGGCCCCGTGTATGGGATGCTCGTTTTGATAGCGACTCTAGCAATTTTGCCAAGGCATACCCTGACACTGTTGACGCCATCATGAACACGCACTGGGACACTTGGTTCAACCAGAGCCACGTCGATACCCTCGTCAAGTACGGACTCAACGCTGTCCGCGTTCCTGTAAGCAAAGCTTCGTTTTGCTGTACCCGCGCCCATCCTCAATCTGCTTTTTCTAATCAGCTCGGCTACTGGATCGTTGAGCGCCTCGTCGACCGGACGACCGAGTACTACCCCAAGGGTGGTATTCTGCAGCTCCAGCGCGGTCTCAAGCAGCTCAAGGACGCTGGTATCGTTGCCATCCTTGACCACCACGCGCTTCCCGGCGTCCAGACTGCGAACCAGCAGTTCACTGGTCGTTGCACGTCCGACGTCCAGTTCTACACCGACTACAACTACCAGCGCGCGCTCACTTGGACTGCGGTTATGACTGCTATCTCCCACCTCGACCCCGCTTTCGGTTCTGTTGCCGGCATCGAGGCTATGAACGAGCCTATCATGGATTCCAGCAAGACCCCCGGCTACGGCACTTGTAAGTTAACTTCACGTTCATCTAACGCTCGGATGTTCACATGCGCGCCTTTTGTACAGTCCAGCAGAACTACGTGCAGACCATTCGCGCCATGGAGGCAATGATGGGCATTGGTCCCTCTTTCCTCGACATCTCCGTCGACGTCTCCCAGTCTTCTCCCAACGTCACGGCCGCACTCTCCGCTGGCGTATCTAAGTCCACCCAGCTCAGCGACATGACCCGCAAGGCCCTCCTCGACTCGATCCCGATCCTCGTCGAGCTCAGCACCCAGCTCGAATTCTCTCTCCTTGGCTCTGCTCTCTCCGCTCATGGGAAGGAACCGCTTGTCGCGAGCTTCATGGACGCCACCTGGCAGTGGGGCAACCGTTCAAACCCGGCGGACGCCGCGAGCGGGCCGATGGGCTACGACAACCACCTTTACTACGCGTGGGGCGGTGTCGCGGACCCGAACGAGGAGGCCTACATGACGAGCAGCTGCAACCTGCCCCGCGTCGCGGACGACCTCGCCCTGAACAACACCCCGCTCTGGTTCGGCGAGTGGGGCCTCCCCACCCAGTTCAGCGCCACGGACGCGTTCTTGGCCAAGTGGGCGGACGCGCAGAAGTTCGCGTACTCGAAGGGCCGGGGCTGGTTCGTACGTATCTCTGCTCTCCTTGGCCTTCCCGAAGCGACGGCTGACGTTGGTGGCTCGTGCAGTTCTGGAACTTCCGCACCGAGAAGAACGGGGACCTTGGTCGTCAGTGGTCGTACTTCGAGGGCGTTGAGCGCGGTTTCTTCACCGAGGACCCGAAGGCTTACAACGACCCCAACGTCTGCGTGCCGTACATCGCTGGCCCTTCTTCCAGCAGTGCGGCCGCGTCTGCGACCTCGGCGTCCGCGAGCTCCTCGGCGTCCGCGACGTCCTCCTCGGTCGAGTCCTCGACCTCCACGGGTGAGGCGTCCTCCGTCGCTTCCACGGTCGCTTCCACGACCGCGGCTTCCTCTGCTGCCTCAACGGCATCGACGTCTTCCGCCTCGACGACTTCGGCTTAAACAATCTGTCCTCCCATACACGTTCGCTACCGAACGCATCATGCGCCAAAAACGCTCCCCCACGACTACAACCTTACGCGCTTCGAGAACCCACACTCGCTTTATCTTACCTCGGTCACCATCTCGTCGCCCATAGTATTGTTTCTTGTTAATGCCCGCGCCCGCCTGTTTTGTAGGCGGTGCAGCCCGGGAGTCGCTCTTTACCCGGTCGCTTCTACATAGTATAAATGAAGGATAATTTTGCCAGTTTGCTATGCACTGCGCCGATGTCTGAAGACATGCGATTTTCGAAGCCTCGGTATGACTGTGGACGAGCTTCACGTGCGCGTGTCGCGCGTCTGTAGCGTTGGACGCGTTCGGCGCCAGTCTCCCCTAGGCAGACCTAAGACCTTCCAGTTCGGCGCGCGGTTTCGATGTCCACTCTTTCTTGGAACGAGTGAGTGTTAGGCGCAATCCTCGACCACGCTGAGCACACTCATTCGCCGAGCCCACGGCGTTGACAGCACGTTCGGCACAAGAGCGCTGGCCACGTTCGCCACCGAGCCAGGAATGGTTGGAGGATTGCCCGATTCAGACCCGTCAGCAGCAACTTCAACGATGGTCGCCTGCCTGCTCGCTCCCGGAGGTGGATTCGCCAGCCTTTGTCAGCCCATGTGAAGGACGAGCCCGCCATATAAACCCGCCGGGGGCGTCGTTCGCCCTACCCCATCTTCCTTTTCTCCCCCTTCCACCCCCATTTTCGCTCTGCAGACCCTGGTGGTTTTTGCTGTCCTCTTCGCTTTCACACTTCGCCCTACGACTGCGTCGTACCAGCCTTACCCTTCTACACTTCATCGTCGTGAGTCTCCTTCATCTCGACTACCCTCCGTCGCGCTGACTTTGGCGTCTGGGATCCCAGATGGTTAAACTCACTTCTCGCTTCGCATTCCTCACCGGTGCGGTGACGTCGCTCGCCGCAGTCTCGGTCCTCCCCACTCCCGCCGACGCTGCTGTCATCAAGGTCAACAATCCAAACGGGATGCCGCTCGGCTCACTCAACACTAGACATCCCGCCGACGCTACCGTCATCAACATCAACAATCCAAACGGAACACCGCTCGGCTCACTCAACATTCGACGCTCGACGCCGAAGGACGTGTCCGACGTCGCGGCAGAAGATCCTCCTCGGTCTCAGTCCAAGGCTGTCAAGAAGTCGAAGACCAGGGGCGCTTCGGCGGCCAAGCAACGCGAGCACCAGCCGATGGTACCCCTTCCTGCGTCGCTGGTCGCCAAGAACAGGAAGACTCGAGGCAAGGGAAAGGGTGGCAAGGGCAAGAAGCGCAAGGGTGG